GACCGCCATCGCTTCAAGACGTTTCAAGACGACACCTGGGGCCGGAGGAGCAATCATGGCGGCGACGGCAACAAGCATGATAGGGCTGAATGTGATGTCAACAGTGAGCGTGGCGACGGCAGCGATTCCGACCGCGGACATGTTGGCGACTTTGAAGGTGGGGTGTGTGAAGAAGACAGTGACTTTGCAGTCGACTCGTCTGGATCGAGTGCGGAAGGGTCGTCTGTGGACTAAACTGTGAGCACAGTGCGCGTCAACTTTCCTCAGTTCAACTGTTCCAGGTATGTCCAGAATGGTGTCATACAAAGGCTTACTAAGTTGCATGCATGAATGTGTAGCACTCCTAACGTCTGAAGCACTGGCGCATGAATTTACCCAGAGCCATGTTCACGCCGCCTTACACCCCATACCTGGAGAAGTAGTACTTGTTGCCGCTCAGCTGCTTGAAGACAACACCAACTACCAACAAGTATGGCACTCAAGAGCAGATGGACGAAGACTGCGCGGCATCGTATTCAACTCAAGCGAGTACAACGTTTGTTTTGGCAACGCCGACGCCCTGCCCGTTACGACGTCACGAACCAAGACGTACATGAAGTCCCTCCAAGGTCACATTCCTCACGACGAGAAGGCGGTGAATATCAAGATCAAGTACTTGTCCATGTACTTCGTCGAAATCAACGAGTCGATCGATATTGAGCCCTGCAATGAGAGTCCACTCCGGACCGAACAAGAGGTAAGTGACGATGTATCGGCTGATTTCTAATGTTCCACTTAGATTAAGCCACTAGCGCAAAAGTACCACTGTCAGTGCAAGGGATATTACATACCCCTAGTAAACCCCAAAGTATATTTACTAATAGTAGTAAATACTACTACGTAGTACTCCGAGGTTCTGTAATCCAACTTGTAGTGTTGAAAGGAATCATCACTATTAATAGCTAACGTTACATGTATACTACGAAGTACTACGTAATAACTACTAGTATTAATACTACGAAGTAACTACTAGTATTAATACTACGTAGTACTATTAATAATAATACGAGTACTACTCCAGAGTACTTAGTACTTAGTAGTAGTAGTAGTAGTAGTAGTAGTTTAGCTGTACTCAGCATTGGCATTTTAGAAACCATATGATTTTATTTGCTCGGAAATTCACCAATGACTAACACATGTTCTTGTGCCTATTAAGTACGCTCGGAAAGTGTCTCTCTGGACTATTTTGCTCGAAATCGATCCATTCCAAGGCGTGCTCGAAAATGCTCCATCGTTTGCTCGAAAAAAATGCGCACCCGGCCACATATCAGATCGTTTTGTGTATTATCCGAAGCTTACCGCGTTGCATTGGTGTCAACGACTCTAACATGAGCCATCCTTTTGCAGTGGGTCGTTGATTCCATTTGCACGAGCAACGGACTTCCAGGATTGTTCGGCGTCATGTGCTGCAACCACACTTCTCTTGGCCGAGAGTGGAGCTCGCTTGTAGGGGCCACGGCGGGGTGCATGCATAGCATGTTAGCGGTGGATCGTTCTATACAGAGAGCTTTGTGGTGCAGCGATGGCCACTTCCATCGAGCTCAAATTCTAGAATGCGTCGATCGTTCATGATTCTCAGCTCGAAGTATATTGTTTAGGTGAATTTAATTTTCAAAAGGTGATATTACCATAAATTGTGGCAATGGATGTTCATTCAAAGATTGTTCGACACATAAGATGCCGATTACAAGTCAATACCAACACTGACGGCCACCCCCCCCAGAACTACAAAATTGGACGTCATAGTAGGGCTTCCTCTTTTGCCCCGACCACCCCCGTGAAAAGAGGACCTACGAAGTCGGCCGATTTAAGTCCGGCCGTTTGATCCTTGAACGAAATAATCGCACATTCCTTTCAGCCGGAAACAGATCTTATCCACAACATGCACTTACAAGCGAAATAACAATCAATCATCGGGTTATAGCTTTGCCACAAACGACATGAGCTCCTCCATGCCTGCAGCCTTGACGCCATGGCCATGGCACATGGGCACACCGTCGACTCCGCACTCCTGCCCCACGATATCTTTCGACGGCGAAGTTGCTGGTGCCACGACCACGTACTTGAAGTCGTGGTATTGGAGGTTTGGATTGTCACTGACTGCGTTGTGAATTTCTTGCATTTTGGCCCAATCCAGATCGCGGTTTTCGTCCAACGTCATTTTGAGGTAGTAGATGACGCTGTCCACCACTGGAAGCGGCAGGTAGGTTGGGTACCAGTACATGGACTCAGTCGTGTCGATCGCAAGGAATTTCAAGCTGTCGTCCCAAGTCATGTGGCCCGTGGTCACAGGCAACGTCGTTGGCACTGTCACCACTTCCGAACCAAATAAGTGGTTCACCGTGATGCTGAGTTGCAGCAAGCCGATGTGAGCTAGCTTGTGCACCATGGCTTCGAAAACACTTTCGTGCAGGGAGCCATTGCAGCTGCGCTCAGCAAAATGGAGTGCCGTCACAAATGTCGCCAACTGCGCGGTGGCGGCAAGGCGCTTGAGGACAACGGAAGAGGCTACGACGTACATCCACATGGGGTTCAAGTAGTTCTTGGGGGTCATGTAATTGTCGGGAGACCCCGTTTTTATCACACACTAAATAACGAAATGCACACAAACTTTCACGAAAACCACATAGAAAACACATGGGCTTCCAGCACCAGTATTCGTTGGGGATGATCCCAAGGGAGTATTATCATGTGTTTGTTTACGATACTGGCGTGTCATCAGGTACCCGTATGGTCAGTCACACACATGGTTAATTGAGTTTTGGGGCTCTGAGTAACTGTACAGTACCGGTAAGTTCAAAGATATAGTACTACTATGGACTGATAGTACTACTAGAATTAATGTGCACTGAATTCTCAGTGTAATTTAACACGAATCGACGCCAGCACCAACCACTACATTGACGACCACCACACTTGTCAATGTAGTGGCTGGGGGGGGGGGGG